GAAAACATTATATATAGCGTTTGATAAGCGTTCCAAAAGAGTTCAAACCTTTTGGCGTTATATAAGCATTCTTATAAAGTTTGAAAGCGTATAAACTCTCAGAAAACTCTCATTAAACGGTTATCAACGCTCTGTAAAGCTTCTTATTTTCGTCAGGGATAGTATGTGTCATGTAATACAATATCAATTGATGAGTTAGATAGTATAATTCCAGTTAATCCTCCTATGGTGAATATAAATACAAATCCTAATGATCATAGTATAGTGGAGTTTAGNTTTATTTTGGTTCCATGTAATGTTGTAATTCATCTAAAGACTTTAATTCCTGTGGGTACNGCAATAATTATTGTTGCTGAAGTGAAGTATGCTCGTGTATCTACATCTATTCCAATTGTAAATATGTGGTGAGCNCAGACAATAAATCCTAGGAATCCAATAGCTATTATTGCATAAATTATTCCTAGTGATCCAAATGTTTCTTTTTTTCCTCTTTCTCTTATAATAATGTGGGAGATTATTCCAAATCCTGGAAGGATTAAAATATAAACTTCTGGGTGTCCAAAAAATCAAAATAAATGTTGGTAAAGAATAGGGTCTCCTCCACCCGCTGGGTCAAAAAATGAAGTATTAAGNTTTCGATCTGTTAGTAGTATTGTAATTGCTCCGGCTAATACAGGAAGGGAAAGAAGGAGTAGAACTGCTGTAATTAAAATAGATCAGACTATGAGAGGGGTTTTGTCTATTGAAAAATTTTTGTGGGTTATGTTAATAATTGTAGAGATGAAGTTGATAGCTCCTATGATTGATGAAATTCCTGCAATATGGAGAGAGAAAATTGCTAAATCTACTGAGGCTCCCCTATGGAAAATTCTTGAGGATAAGGGAGGGTATACTGTTCAGCCAGTTCCAGCTCCTGAATTAATAAATCTTCTTAAGGTGAGTAGTATAATTGATGGGGGTAAGAGTCAAAATCTTATGTTATTTATACGNGGGTAAGCTATATCTGGTGATCCAATTATTAGTGGAATTAAAAAGTTGCCAAATCCTCCGATTATAAATGGTATGACTATAAAGAAAATTATGATAAATGCATGTCCTGTTACGATAGAGTTATANAGTTGGTCATTATTAATAATGGATCTGCAGGATCCTAATTCAATTCGAATAATTATTCTTATTGATGATCCAATTATACCTGCTCATATAGCAAATATAAAGTATAGGATTCCAATATCTTTGTGATTAGTTGAGTATAATCATTTGTTCATAATAATTTCTTATAATATA